TTTCATTGTGTTACATTTCACCCCAGGATATGTTACAACTAACCCAGACTATGGGGTTAATTGTAACATTTCACTCTTTTTGTTTGAGACCATACCATGCAATGGGTAATTGTGCTGCAGAGAAAATAGCTGCACTATTTAATAGCCGAGACATGTAAATACTTTGCATTACATTTTGAATCCACTACCTTAAAAGAGCTCCAATTTACAGACAGAAATGTCAAAAATGTTACAAATATCCCCGGTCTCCCCTACTTGATAGGAAATGCTAAAGGTTCAACTTTATTATTTATTATCAGTTCAACTGTTCAGTGTAATTGAAACAAACATAACTTAAAATATGACCAGCGAAGGCAGGTGGAGTACCTTTGTTGAGACTTCTGGTTCATCAACGGTGCTTGTAACAAGAAAAAAAACAAGAAGTTCCCTGTGAATGAAAAGTTGCATTATGAGGTTAGGGGCTGTTCACAATTATTTATCTTTTTATAAGCGCACAAACAGGAACCTAGGAGTAGGAGTTTAATGGCTGATTGACATATTCTGAAGTATTTTCTAGGCATTTGATCACACCCGCCAGCACCATCACACATTCTTAAAGAGTGGAAGTACCTCTCTAACCATATGGACAGGAGAAGTGGTTTTGTGTGCTTCTGCAAGGGCAGCTATGGCAAGGCCACATAGTGCACACAAGGTGGAATCAGGCCTTTCAAACTGTGAAAGAGACCAAAGGGCGACAGGTGGCTGTTCCCTCGACCCTGAGCACCCAGGCCATTGCAAGACACCAGCTGGAAAGACTCTTGGATCTTTAGCAGCCCTGAAAGTGGCACCTGAAAAACTGTAATGCTAACAGCTGGGCTTACTGCTGGTGTGTATATCCTAAAAAGCAAAATTATGTTTTGTTTTGTTATTCTAATGTAAAGTCATTTTATAGCATTGTGTTTATTCAGAGGAGTACATCAATAAAGTTAGCTGCTGTTGTAATTTCTATAGCTTCAAATATATCTTCACCAAACAAAGCAATAAAGAAAAAAATGTAAAAATTCGGGAACATTCCCTTTTCCCCTTATTTGCCTGTTTTATCAGGTTTACACATATTTATTACGCCTCATTAAATAGCATTCTGGATTGATTGCTTTCCTGCCAATAACATGGATTTTTATTTATTTATTTATTTATTCATTTAAATAACACGCAAGACAAAGTCAGCCACTAAAAAGACAAGGATCTGTCTGTAAATCCCATTTTTAAAAAAAAAATAAAAAAATCTGTCATTCAATAAATTATTTAAAAGAATTTAGAGTGCTCTCCGTTTTCAATGAGCAGGTGAACATTTTGGCGGTCCCTAAGTATCTACCGTAGTAGTCGCGTTTCATTGGACTTTTCGGACTCGGACGCTCGCTTCTCATGGGAATAAGAAGCTTTATTTTGTAGCACGATCAGAAAAAAATACTTGAATTACCCATAGCGAATTCATTATTTTTTAATAATTAATCCCGGAAGTACGAATGCTGACGGTATCATTCAATTCTTCACAAGTTTCACGAAACTGCGTTAAGCTAGCAATATCCTTAGTTGTCTGTCAGGCTCCATGCTGGAAGGAGACTCGGAAGACTAAACTGTGGAAATATGGCTTTTAAAAGGCGTTAACACAATAAGGTTCAGCGTGCTGTCATTAATGTCTTGTTGATACCAATGGAAAGCTCAGTGATTGGTCTTCGTCTATCCTTGAAGCAACGATATTTTCTTCTACTTTGCGTCGCTGCCGCTGGAATAATTATGTATCGCTTTACAAGGTAAGGCAAACACTGATACAGCGCTGTTTTTAACGGCCACTAACTTTTACTAAGAGTTATGTGCGTGAAGACATCTCGCCCACTGATACGTGAAATGTTCACAGTTTGTGATTGTTAAGCTCCACGAATCCATCCTCGTGCTTGGAGGTACTGGTCCGTATTGTGAGCTGCAGGTTCAGCTCAGCTACACAGGGACTGACCAGGGCACCTGTGAACGCGTATCTGGCTCACCTGTTAGACTTTACGTGTCTACGTAACAGCTACTTGTCTTTCACTGGCCAACTTTTCCCAAGTACATTTTATACTCAAGCCTAGTCCTGGAGAATTAAAAAAAAAAAAAAAAAAACAACCCAAAACGCTGGAGATTTACATTAAAATTATTATTCTTAGACTGTAGTATGTGAAAAAAAACTGATCTTCGTTTTTCAGCAGAAGAAGACCTCTTCTGCCAATCGGATAAGGTAAAACTTGTGTGATGTTATTCAGCTGAAATATATTCAGCTTTTTCCAGTAAGGTTGGGATGCTATGTAAAATGTAAATTAGGCATGTAACTGCTGCTTAGATAACCTTGCAACAGGCCAGTACAAATAGTAGGTATGAAAAGTGAAGATAAGAACATCACAGAGAGGCTAAGTTCACCACTCTCTTAAAGGTTATGAGAGAAAATAGTTTAATAGCTGAAGAATAGCATTTGTCTGTCTAGATTTCCATTCCGAGCATGCGCGGATTTCATCATCTGAGCATCACTAAAAGATTAAACACAATAAGGAGAAATAGCTACATGTAAGAGGAAATTCAGATAACCAGTGCTGAATGGAAGTGATCTCTGGGCATTCAGGCAACACTGCATAAAAAAACTTAACTTAAAAACAGAGAAACACTGTTTATCATTGCATGTGCAAATGGAAGATAAACATGAACAAAAAAACCTCCAGAAACTTTGAGATGTCCTCTGGGCCAGAGCTCAATTCAGATGGACTGAGGCGAAAAGATGTGCTGACTGTTTGAACTCTTTTTAGATAACATAGACACTTTCCTCTGCAATAAAAAAAAAAAAAAGAAGAAGAGGTACTGTCCAACTTGTTTGAAACCAGTTTAAAAACCAGCTTCCACAATGTTACACAAACCATAGGTAACCTGCACACTTGCAAAGGCACCGGTAACCAAGTGATAATCTGCCATTCAAATCAACATATTTGTCTGGGAAAGTCTCCATGAGGACAATGCCACATTTTGTCAAGTCAAGTCAAAGTTTATTTCTATAGCCTCTGCTTTTAAGCCTGGATCTAGAAATGTCCTAGAGCAGATGGTTCTAGACCTCGGTGCTCTGGTAGGGTTTTAAAAGTTATGTTAAGTAAAGGCATCAAACCACTGAGACTCTTAAAAACAAGTAAACATTTTTAAACTGGATCCTGAAAGCGACTGCACGCCAGTGTAAAGGACACCAGTACAGGTGTAATGTCATCACATTACATTTTGATTGCATTTTGAACAACTTGAAGATGACAAGAGGTAATAAATTGGTAAATTACCCCATCAAAGTCAGGTGGCGCGAGGTAGGCCTTCACCTGATTGAACGAAGCATGTCTTGACAAAACAGCTAATCAGTTTATCAAATGTTAATGCACAATCAAGAATCACACCAAGGTTCATTGCAACCAGGTGACAGGAAGAGGCTAAGAGACCAGTGGTGCTGGCTTACCCGTCTAACGCGTTTGGGTTGCCCAAGTCAAATCATTTCTGTTTTGCTTTTGATCAGATGAAGGAATTTTGTATATGACATTTTGGCCGTATTACAGCAGCATGATTCTGCAGGGAAATATCCACTAAACACATTAAAAATATAATGAATTTAAAAGTATAACAAATTAGCTCTGAAGCAGCTGAAGCTATATAGTAACCAAGACCTTCAAAACTAAAGCAAAAGCTAAATGTTTGCAGACATTTACTAAATTACTAAAATAAATTATGATGATGTAACACTGATGCAACCTCCCACCCATCCAAACATAGTACAATGTTGCCGTTGTACTATTTTTTAAATTAATATAGGTTTTAAATAGTGTAAAAACTAGGGTGACGCAGTAAAACATGAGAGATCTGGTTCATGAATCTGGTAGTGATCAGAACTCAAAATCAAACTCAAGATAATCAGCCATAAACATTTTATTGCAAGTTGACAAAAGACAAACTCTCTGTATTTCAATATAGTGCTTACACTAACCATTGACCCCTAAAGGTGTGGCTTTTCTCTTATGCTCACCACGATAAGATATACAAGCTACCTATTACCTCTGCGCTTCAGTAAAGGAGATTTCCGCACACTTGCAACAGGTTTTAAATACTAGCAGTTTTCCTTCTTGTTCAGCGAGTTCTTTCACAGTTTCAAAGTTTTGCCTCTTAGGAACCACCCTGAAACAAGAAGAATGAACCGTGTGGAGGGCCTGAGAGCCAACTCTTCTCAGTTCACTCTGGAGAGAAAACCTTTCCTCATCTTGGGAGGCTCCATTCATTACTTCCGTGTCCCAAGAGCTTACTGGAAGGACCGGCTGCTGAAGATGAAGGCCTGTGGCCTCAATACTCTGACTACGTAAGCTACTACAACTCAAGACTGTCTGAACACATAGGTGGAATTTTCATTGTCCATACTTCTGTAAGGAGTTTGCGGCTGAAAAACATAATGCACACGTATGCATTTAAAAAAGTTTAATTTCTTTTTTCAGATATGTTCCTTGGAACCTGCACGAGCCAGAGCGGGGGGTCTTCAAGTTTGAGGATCAGCTAGATTTAGAGTAAGGACCGAAGGCAAGGGAAGGCTTTCAGGGAATTCAGAAGATCGCCTGCAGATGGCACTGTTATATTGCTAAAGACTTGAGTTTGCCAGCCTTGAGTGATTTGAGGTTATAAGAAATGTTTTAAATCAATTAGTGAACTTTGTCTGTCAGTGATTGAGTTATTAATTATAATGTCATTGACCTGTTAAATCTGTTTTTTGTTTTCAAAGTACACGATGAAGGTTAAGAAAAATAGTTTACAGTGAGAAAATATATTATTCATTTAAATACTTTATTGACTTTTATTCATAATAAATGGCTCCCACTGACAGCTCATTTTACATCCGTTCCCTAGAGCCTACCTACGTCTTGCAGCCAGCTTGGGCCTCTGGGTGATTCTGCGACCAGGGCCTTACATCTGTGCTGAGTGGGACTTAGGGGGACTACCCAGGTAAAGATTTTAGATATGCAATCAAGTGTTACTGTATATTTATACATAATTTGTAAGTGCCTTAAAGCATTAGTTACTCTGGAATCTGTTGTGTAAAACAGCTAGTAGATTGCTAAGCAGTTTAACTTGATTACAGTGCTGTGCAAAATCATTTCTTTATATTTTGCCTCCACGGAAGCAGACTTCCTCGTAATATTTAAAATGATCTTAAACAATAGTTCTCCAGGCTTTTAGAAGAGCTTTGAGAATTTTTTTTAGATTGACATTCACTAATTTTCACTGCAGTTCTTGTACCTGACCATTTTCAGAGGAATGTTTTTTGTTTAGTTTTTCTGCTTGTTTAAATGATTCAATTCAATGATTCAAGCGTAAAAATGCCCAAAGCTCAATTGATGGACTAGTGTTGTGTTTACTCATAACAAAGAATTTACCAAAGAACCAATTTAAAATTGTATTTTTAGGCACTTTCACAGGCATGGAATAGTCTTTCATTGTGAGTTGTTTTACAGGTGATTTCAAAGAACTATTAGCCTCATTAGAAATGGTCTCAGTGGAACAGTTGCTGACAGGAAGCCATTCGTTAGGAAGGGAAATGTAGAGAAAAAACCGAGGCTGGCCAAATCACTCAAGAACTGGACTGAAAATCAGTCGGCAAACATGTCTGATGGAGTGATGAATGCAAGTATGACATTTTTTGGTTAAAATGTTATCAATATGTATGAAGGAGGTTGGGAGAGAGGTACAACAGTGAGTGTTGGCAGTCATCTGCAAAACACAGTGGAGGCTCTGTCATGGTGTAAAGCTGCATTCTTCCAGTAGTAGTGTTGGAGATCTTGACACGAATGAATGAAATTATGCACGGAGTAAAGTACTGTCAGATTTTCATCCACTGTGTAACACCATCTGGACAGTATCTGGTTGCCTGCGAAGCTGCAGGCGACCAGATACTTTGTTAGCATGAAAATGATCTCAAACACACTGTTGATCCAGTGAAAGCATAACTTGATGAACAAACACATAGTCGCTGTCAGTCATGGATTGGCCTTCCCTGTAGCCCAGACTTCAATATCTTAACAGAGAACAGAACAACATCTAGAACATCTAAATAAGCGTTTTGGATGTCCTTCAAGAAGCATGAAGAACTACTCCTGAAGACTTTTTTGTTATGTTTGTAGATGTTTATATTAAATGCTGCAGCCAACAAAATATAAAGAAAACAAACTCTTGCACAGTACGTTATAACTTCTATTATCAAGTGGTCCCTTTGCAGAGGGCACAATTTGTTTAGTAAATATAAGAACTGCCTCATTATTAAGTCATGTGAGTTTTTTTTAAGTGTGCAAGGACAAAAATTGCTTGATTTCTTCTGGAAATTTTTTTTTTGTTTATTTTGTTTTGTTTGTAAGACCCACCTTACAGGTTTGCACCTGCAATACAACAGGACCTCACATAGAGTCAGGCTTATTAAGAATAAACAGCAATATGCAGTACGCCATGTAAGTTTGCCACTGCTGTTACTCGAATGAAAGTCACTGAGGACTACCAGCAGACTTTTAGAGATATAGTGGAGACAGCCATAATTAAATCTGACAGGCACATCTCCCTGAAAGATTAATTGATTTACTTCTGTAATCACGATAGATTCAGACAGATAATCAGATAATTGCTGGCAGGAATAAGGTAGTATTTTTAGAGCAGTATTTTCCTTTTGGGAATGTGAGGTTGAGGTAATTATTTGATAATTGTCAAATCTGAGCGAGAGGGAAAGAGAAATGCACTAAAGCATGACTTCGTCTGCTTGACGGTAGCCATTCTTAGGTCAGCTTGGTGCAGCTGTCTTTAAAATCGTAAAGTGAAATCGCATCACAACACTTTGTGCTGTGATTTCTTTTCAGCTGGCTGCTAAGGGATCCCCAGATGAAACTGAGAACAACCTACTCTGGATTCACCGATGCAGCCAACTCCTTTTTTGATGAGGTCATAAAGAAAGTCGTCCCACATCAGGTAGTTTTCTATGAGTTTACTGAAAATGTAGAAGTCCTGACCTTTGTAAGTGAAACATGCTTATTAATGTTCCAGTTGTGAGGTGGGCTGAGAAAAATGACTTACACCAAAGTACTATGGTGTAAGATAAATAACAAACAGATGTCACATACAAATTTAATAGATTTTCTTTTAAATTCAGTAAGCACACAGTTTAAAAAGCAATCATGACTCCAATGTGATACAACAATTGTAAGATGATGACACTTTTATAACCTCAATCGCTACATCAATATTTTCATTACAACGTCCTGAAATGCCGCGCAGGGCCCGGCTGCCATTAAGAACGTGGTAAACAGTTTTCGCAAGGCTTACAGTGGTTACCAGACACACTTGAGTTGCTTATCTTGTGTTCACAGCCTTATTTTTTTTATCAGCTCCGTGCATCACTGAACACTAAAGCTTTCATATCTCAATATTTTTTTTTCCATTTTAACTATGCTGAGGATAGGAACGAGAAAGAACTTGTGTCAAGTCATACTGTATGTCCTAATATATGGCTAATTGCTGCACAGTACTCCAAGGGTGGCCCGATTATAGCAGTTCAAGTGGAGAATGAATATGGCTCCTATGCTACAGATGAAAATTACATGCCCTTCATCAAGGAGGTAAGGAGGTAGTTAATAAAGAACTATCAATAAACAGGTTTGCACTTATTTACTATACATATATATATTCAAAAATATAATTTCGGTTTTGTTTCGTTTCCTCTATAATACCCCCACCCTCCGATCTTTACAGGCGCTATTGTCAAGGGGTATCACAGAGCTGCTGCTGACCTCAGACAACAAGGACGGGCTGAAGCTTGGAGGAGTGAAAGGAGGTATTGTCAGATTGGCTGGCAGACAAACAAGCTGCTGTATGCACAAATGGCCAATCAATCACACACACATTCTACAAAATGTTGGCTGGCGTGTCTCATTTTTATGCACAATGGCAAAAACGTCTTAAATAAGTGCAGGCCAGTGTTGCACAACTACAATGCAGAACCAAATCTTAGTGTTATAGTGTAATTCACATTAATTAGTAACCATTATTTACTGTTGGTTTTTACTGCAGTGCTAAAGCATTTTGATTGATACTTGGTATTACTGATATATTCCGATGTGTAGTATTCATATAATTAGAAAGCAGCATCCACCATCACTTAAAATATTTAAATGTATTTCTAATAATTTTTCAAAAAGTACTGTGCAAAAGTCTCAAGCTACCTCTCTGTTCTTTCTATTTTGTTAGGAAAATGGGAAAAACAGTTTATTAAACTATGTGCAAGCATTAGTGGAAATACAAAATAAAGGCTAACACAGAGTTTCAGTTTGTGGCCACCTTCTTTTTTTCAACACAGACACTCATAGACTCCCATAGACAAGCTTTTTTGAAGTAGTCTTCAGGAATAATTCTCCATATTTCTTGAAGGACATTCAAAGCTCTTCTTTGAATGTTGGCTGCCTTTTGTTCTGTTCTCTGTCAAGATGATCTCACACTGCTTCAGTAATGTTGAGCTTGCGGCTTTTGGGAGGTTTGTCCATGACTGATAGGGTAATTGTTGTCGTGTAATATGGCAGAGCTCAGCCTTTTCTCCCTGTTTCTCTTCCTTGCAAATGGTTTCTTGACAGTCACCCTTTCACTGAGACCATTTCTGATCACGTTTTGGTGAACAGTAGATTGATCCCCTGAGAGGTCAGCTGCATCTCGCAGGTTATGAGCTTTGCAGTGAGATGACTTTCTAAAAGATACCGTTAATCTGCTAAATGGACAGGTTCTTCTATAGCAGTTTTCTACTCTACTCAAGCACTCAGGGAACTTTATGCAACGTGCCTCTTTTACCTATTCATACAAACGTTTATTTCCCCTGCTTTCTATCCAGGAATACTTTGGCATGCAAACTGGAGCAGCCAGGGATCAAACCACTAACCTTCTAATTAATGGATGACGTGCTCTACCGCTGGAGCTACACTCGATTTAAGATTATCTACAGCTGCAGATAATTCACTTGTCCAGTTTCCTCAAAATTGTTTGCTGAGATATGACAAATTCTTGGCTGTTTGTTCTTTGGGAATCACATTGTTAGAGCAGAAATACTGTTTTATGCCTTTCAGACTGTTATCTTTGGCAGTTTTCATAGATTCAGCTAAATAAATTGGAACAAATTATGTGTTTCTACAACAGGCTGCTGGTAACAAATTGCCTAAAGATACAATTTAAAATGTTCTCTTTGCTAAGTATTCTGTTACATGTATACACATCTCCCTTGAGTTAGGTGCCTTTTTTACGCTTGAGTGATTCCAATTAGTGCTAAGTGCTAAGCTCAAGACTTTTGCGCAGTATTGTATGTTCACAGAGTCTTTTATCAGAACAATTTCCTGCCTTTCCTGTCTTTACCAACTAAAGGATAATTTAGTTTCATTGAGATACTACCAATTCATGGTTGAATGACTAATACCTCTCTGAAGAGTGGTTTAATATTGTGCCTTATTTAACGTAATATGTGTCTTTTTTTTGTTTGCAGCTTTGGAAACCATCAATTTTCAAAAACTGGACCCAGATGAAATCAAGTATCTGGAACAAATACAAGTAAGTCTTTCTTGCCACAAAATTAATTAAATTCCTGTTGATAGATTTTGGAGTTTTCTGATATAATCAGACTCATCACCACACTTAGCATTGCTCTCTGCAAGAATTAGACAATCCTGGTAAAACAAACTGAAACTGTTTTCTATTAAAGGGATTTGAAAGGTTCAAACTATCAGTTGCTTTACTGGTTCAGTAGTTACACTAAAACATGTTTTCTTTACTAGCCTCAGAAACCTAAAATGGTGATGGAGTACTGGTCTGGCTGGTTTGATCTCTGGGGCGGGCTCCATCATGTTTACACTGCTGAAGGTAAGACGTGCTTTAGTTTTACAAATGTAAAAAACATGTTTTCTTTAAGAGAGATTCAGGATCCATGATGAGCGTGCGGGGTTCGAATGAACGTAAGTTAGGATTACTGCAGATGGATTCTTTGTTGTGGGTGAAACTTTTTTTTTTTTTTTTTACAGACGGTCGATAGTGGTGGATAATTTGAGGCAAGAGCAAGACAGGTTTGGTGCTGCGAGCTACTACAAAATCACTGAAAGTAAAACAGGCTGTCTTGAGAATAAGACAGAGTCACAGTGCCGTAGGGTAAGAGAGGTTTAAGACAAACCTTTTAGCTGAGTATAAAACAGTGTCTATGCCAGAGGAAAGATTGTGTAAGGACAAACTCGCTGCCATGGGAGCTGTGTGAGCCTTTCTTCAGGCTGAGTGTAAGACAGTGTCTAACGCCATGTTTCTTCAAAGAAGGCGCTGAGCCCACACAGTGCAGCTGGGGTATACAGCTTAGCATATGGTCATTTCTTACTTGTTTGATGGCTTTGTTAGAGATTTATATAGCTTTAATGCTTGGTTGATTGTAAGCCAAGTATCACAGACCAGAGGCTGTGTACCATGCTCTTAATTGCTGAATTGTTCAAAGATATGCTTCACTGATTTTTATTGAACTGAGGTGGAGGAGTTCCCATCTGTATTTCCTGCAGCCTCACAAAAGATAAACGGATACAAAAACACTGATACAGATCAAGTGTTGTGCACCAACTTTCTGTTGGTGGGAAGACATCATCATGGGTTTCCCATAGTGTTGCTATACTGGTTTGTATTTTGTATGAGAAATAACGTGATGCATATTTCATGCAGTGCCTGCTTAAGAACAAAGGACATTTACTTATTTATTTAATTTTGATTTTATCTTTATCTTTGCGATTAAAATCTCTTTTCAAATGAGACCTTGGCAAAAATGACAAAATTCCTGTGGAATCTTTTTTTATATTTGCAATCTCGGACACTTTTATGTGAAATTATAGCAAACACAGGAAAAGTATGGAAATAGCAATTCGCTTATTTAATTTAAATGTAATTTGTACATATTCCAATGGTTTATTGTTGCACTTGAATTAAAAAAATAGAAATAGATTAAATTGCAATGGAGCAAAAGTATATAGTGGCAGAAAAAGTAAATAGTAATGAGTTTTCCTATGTATTTTGGGATAAACAAGTTTGTGCAGTACAGTTTCATAAAGCAATGCAGTTTCTTATTTTCATCATTTCATATCTTATCTTTGTACTGTTTCAAATTAAATAATGGTTTAAATGTGTTGAAAAATCATTACATTGTATTATTATTTATATTTTACCCGGGCCTGACTGATATATTAGCTATTTGCTGATATATATAT